ATATATCCGATCAAAGGCAAAGCTGGCTGTGGTTATATATTTTACCGAATCTAACGAAGTGAGAATCGAAAGCATTTAACAGTGAAATAAATTTATTTCATTATTAAAAGGAGTTCGGTAAAATTAAAAAAAAAGGAATTGCGGGATACAGTTACGCTAAATGACGTAGCATAAAACCCAACTTGGCGTTAAATCTATGATTTTTAAATGAAGTAAGATATTTTAATAATTATATTAGTAAACAAGCTTCAACAGCTTTTTAAAGTCCTCAACTGGACAAAAGTTTCTCTAAGAAAGAATTAGCTACTCGTAGCACAAGGCTAGGCTGGCGAGTTATTAAACGCAAAGGTGACCCTCGCATTAGTAACACCGTTATTCTATCACCGGTCTGTGAAATTTGAGTTCAGTGTTTTTCAATATAAAATACCCTGATTGTCGACGGGGAATAACGGTTCGGGTGCAAAATGTATGGTCTACGATTATCAGTATCAGTCCGTCTGTCAAGACTGACAATTGGATAAAACTACACTGACTGTAAACTGAACTACTCGATAGAAAATATGGCTGTGACTATGCGCGAGAATGCCAAAGCACAATTCTGAGCCACCTGCAACCATCAACTTCAGTATCGACTCGACGACTCTTACACCCCAACCAACATCGGCTTTACATACTTTCCGAGGCACGGGGGTTAAATACCGCCGTCTCCCATCTGGGCTGATACTTAACTAATTTTAACGAACCGGGACTTAAATCCGGGACTACATAATCAGCAGTTGCGCTTAAGATCACTAAACCAACAAGGCAAACACAAACATATGTATAATGTATTTGAAAGTGGTCATTGTAATGAATTGGTGGCTACATACAACATTTCATAAACTTACTAATTAAATCCAAATACAAATTCGGCACGTAAAGTTCATGTGAATCAATACAAGAAAACACGTGGTAGATCCATGCTGCAGTTATATTAGTAGTATAGTTGTAGCACGAATGGGTCGGCTCGACCGGGGAAGGACCACGCTCTCACAGAATACCAGCGTGAAATAGTAGCTTAATGCTGCTGTATTTCGTATGGTGAGTGTAGAGAACCGGAGACCCTTTTTACTGGAAATGAGGCATTCCATCTCAGTCCTCACGGGTGACAACGCATCTGCATTTTGATTTGTAATGGAAGATAGATGTAGATGTCTATGGGCCGCAGCAACCACTTACCATGAGGTGGACTGTGTGCTCGTTTGTCAGCCTATTCTATAAAAAAAAATACATCACTGATACTAGTAAACAAATTTATTATACTAACGCGGTGCAAATACATTTTCGACAGGTAAGGTAAAAATTTTTGGATCAACTGCATACAAATGTGTAAATATTGCATTACATCTGAGTATGAAACAAAGGGCATTTTATCAAAGTTTTTTTTTATATAAAAGAGAAAGCAAACGAGCTCACAGTTCTTCGGTTCGAGACTAGATGGCGCTAGTGCGCCGATTTTAGAGCGTAACAATATAAAGGGTTATTTTTACTCATTAACAGTAAAAAGCGTTCGTTTTAAAAAGCTGTATAATATAACGTTGTCTAAATTATGGTGATTTCTTGTATCGCGTTAATTTAGACCTACATACACTCTGATCATGTCGACCAATTCGTGGTGTAACCATGATCAGCTGCATCGTAACTCTAACATGCATAATGGATTTGAGCTTCGCAAATGTTTTTGTTTTGTATTATCTCAGTGTCTTACTGTACTTAGAATTATTGATATACTTAGTTATATCTATATGAAAATAAGCATTCAGTTACTTTTTATATATAGAAGACGGGTGACAAAAGAGGACACGATCTAACTGATGATAAGTGGATGCTGTGGCCCATAGACAACTACATTTATCCTAGATCAAGAATCAAAACGCAGATGCGTTGTCATCCCTGAGGATTAAGATGGAATGCCTCGTTTCCAGTAAAAAAGGGTCTCCGGATTTCAGCACTCACCACACAGCAGCATTAAGCTACTATTTTACCCTGGTATTCTGTGAGAGTGTGGTCCTGCCCTGGTCGAGCCGACCCATTTGTCCTACAACCATAATATAACTGCAGCGTGGCTCACCACGTAGAACAAAAAATTAAAATAATAAAAATAATTTACACGAGGAAAATAGTACGACGCAAAATACCCCTCCGTAGACAGTGCTGATCTCTTATACTGCTTCGTTCAGTAATAATGAGTTAAATGAAGGTTGTTTAAAGTAGTAATGAAAGCCAAGGTGGATTAATTAAATGATTCAATTGTTCTCGTTTCATATAGCGCGAAGCAAGTTTGCGTCAAGGTGTTAATTTCCATAGAATATTCGCCACTGTTTTTCTAATCTTAAAAAGAAATTTGCCTGCTCAATCAGTCCGAAAATCGTACTAAAAGATTTATTAGTAAGTCATGACGCGCACGGAATACTTTTTAGGCGATTTGAAAAATATTTGAGACAGAATTCGACAGTTGCTTTTCTCTCTGTGGTGTTTTTTTTTGTATCACGTATATTAAGTCTTCGTCATGTGTAAGCAGATCTTAGTCATACGATTTTTTTATATATATTTCAGTGATGGTCACGTGTAATTTGGGGATTTTCCTAAGGGATCCAAAATAAGGGATGAAATTTTTAATGGAACTACTTAGATGACAAATAAAATAATAATTTCTTAAATTTTATTCGTTTTTAATATTTTGTAGTTGCCGTATACTTTTTTAAAACAAATTTTATAAATCACTTTGTCTATAATATTTTAGAAAATGTAGACAAGCTGTCTTACAACAATAGTAAGGATTTTTATCTTAAAGTTTCTTCCGATTGCGTGCATTTTCCGATAAAATGAATGCAGTTTCCAAGGAGATGCAATGAGAATACAATATAAAAAGCCGTCACAGAGTCTACCTTTTACATATCCATTGTTTTCTCCTAGAAGCTGGTTGCTTATTGTGTGTATTACCATTGAACGCCATTGGATCTCAAGTAAGGATTTTTTTTGTTCACGCGACATCTGCACTTACCTGAAAATATAAAAGAACGGATTTAAACATGATGCACTATCCAATAAGTGTAGTTATATCACCACGATATAACTTTTAAAATACTGCATTAATCATTTAAAGATTTATTTAAATTATTTTAAAGTTAAAAATTCTATAATAGTATTTCAATCTTATTTTTACCGATAGGATCTTTATGATGTTTCCCAGTTTCAAATATGCGAAATATTACGATATATTATAGTATACCAGCTAACCCGGCAAATGTTGCGCAGTAAGTTTCAATGCAAGTTCACTCCAAATCTCTTACAATGTAAATAAAAAAATATTATAACTTGACTCCAGCATCACAAATCAGGTCCATATTTTGTGATTTTCTTACTTAACACTAAATCAGCATATAGTGAGTATGAGTTATTTTGGTCAATAAATATAGGTAACTATATTTATTGACCAAAAATTATCCTGTCCGTTCATTTGTTGTCTAGAAGAAATTGCCGTCAGCACGACCGCTCATTGCATACTTCTTTTGTATATAAAATTTGTGTATTTTTTGTATGATGTGCAATAAAGAATATTAAATTAATAAACAACTTGACTACTGCGTCACCTATCGGATCCTAGCATAGCTATAAATCTTCATCTTGACATAACAAATATAATATTGTTATAATCTCAATCGTTTAAGTCAGTCAGAAGTTACGCGATCACTAAAAGACAACGATTGTATGTTACATATAAATATACAGAAGACAGTAGTAACTCTCTCTAGAGAGTGGATATTAAATCTGTTTTTAAGAACAACACAAAATACCAGCATAATTGGTTTTGTGTTTTATATGGTAAGTGTAGAGAACCGGAAACCTTATTCGATGGAAATGAGGCATTCCATCTTAGTCCTTAAATGTGATAACGTGTCTGTATTTTGATTCCTAATCGCGAATAGATTTAGGTGTCTATGGACCATAGCATCCACTTCTACTCTTATTTTATAAAAAAATGTCAAATGAATGTTCGGTGTTCGCATTCGTTTACATTTGTACGTTGTACAACATAGCAGCACGATCAACCGCGTTAGGACGACGCTCTTACGGTATACTAACGTAAAATAGCAGCTTAACGCGGTGTTTCGAGACAAGAATCATAAACATTTTTCACTGGTAATAAGTCACTCGATCTTAGTCCTCGATGGAAACTTTTTGATTTTTTGTCGATATATAGTCATGGACCACAACATTCACTTACCATGACGTAGGCTGTGTGCTAGTTTGTCACCTTTTAAATTAAATTTTTTTAATGACTATTTTTCCTTAAATTGTTCTACTAACGTGCTTGAACGTGAAATACGTTTATTGAATTTATCATATGCATTAATTAGTTTGATAGTTACCATTATTTAAGCTAGTAATGCTTGTTTCCTACGAGAATTTTATGGTTATTGACCGATATAAAACGCAATGGTTGTAATAGATGGTAAATTACGTTCAAGACATTTACATCATCATTAGCTTGTTACTACTCTTACTTTTTTATCTCTCTGTTCGTATTTCGTGTGTATATGTTATCTCTCTGTTTGCATTTCATGTGTACATGCTTTGCGATATATTCGACAATCGAGTAACTATTTAAATAATTCTCTTTATTATTAAATAGGTATATTTTTGAGGTGTCGCCGTATAAAATTGGATAAAAAGTTTTAGTTTAGTAGGAAATATAGGGGATGCAGTTTTTAAAATAAATACTTATACGAAATTCTATTTGTTATCTTGATATTGTAGTATTCCTATTATGAAGAAATTATTTATTATTTTTAGTTCTTTGAAATCGGAGTCGGCTTTTAATTTTCATTTAAAGTCAAATTTCAGTACACTTTTTTATATAATATTTATTTATTTATATATTTCGTGTTATATATTTTATTTTACATTTACTCCTCCTCTTTACATGAAACTTTATACCCAGGGTATAAATTCGCAGGATGAATTTACTTCCTACTGTCTTGATTGTGGCTGCCTTCACCATGGTAGTAAGAGCTGACGACACATACACCGACAGATACGACTCAATGAACGTAGACGACGTAATTTCCAACAAGAGATTATTGGTCGCGTACATCAAGTGTGTTATGGATAAGGCCCGATGCACACCAGAGGGAAAAGAGTTAAAATGTATGTTTCATATTTTATCTAAATCTGAAATTCTACGCGGTATTTAGGTAATTCAGCCACGCTGCAATTATATTCTGGTGGTAGCACGAATCGGTTGGATCTAACAGAGTAGGACCACGCTCTCACAGAATACTAGCGTAAAATAGCAGCTTAATACTGCTGTGTTTCGTATGGCGAGTTTAGAGTACCTGAGACCCTTTTTACCGGAAACGAGGCATTCCATCTTAGTCCTCAGGGGTAGCAACGCATCTGCATTTTAATTCTTAATTGAAGATAAATGTGGATTTCTATGGGCCGCAGCGTCCACTTACCATCAGGTGGACTGTGTGCTCGTTTGTCACCCTCATTCTATAAAAAAAACCTGCCTGCTAAGCGTATGGTATCTATAAAGGTAAAGTAAGAATCAGCCCTATAAAGCAATTTATGGGGGAGGATTACGAGTACGTTGGACGTGGACATTTGATAATCTATAATGATGATGATAACTTAGTAAAATTTAAGTAAAAATTTAAAACCTTTTATTTTCGAATAACTTCAAATAATATCCTTCTCTTTTCGCTAGCGACTGATATTAAATGTTTTAATATGTTAATAGCAGACTATAAAATGTTATCTATGTACTTCCAGCTCATATCACAGATGCTCTGCAGACTGGATGTGCTAAATGCACGAACAAGCAACGGCACGCCATCAAGAAGGTTATAAAGCACCTCATACACAATGAAAACGATTATTGGAGTCAACTAGTCGAAAAGTACGACTCTCAGAGGACCTATTCGCGAATGTATGAAAAGGAATTAGGCTCGATATGATTCAATAAGGCTAATGAGTAATAATGAATAATAATAATTGTTTGGGGTATTTTGTAGTAATCGCTTCTGGTCTGGATATATAAACTGAAAAATAATGGGGGCGTTTGGCAGAAAAAAGCGCTAGCAAGCGCTTGTAAGCAAAATGGCGATCGTAAGCGGTAAGCGCTGTCAAATCGTAAGTAGCTATTTTCCTCCAGGACACGATTTTAGTTTTAACCGGGGAACCTAACTTAATTTAAATATTTGTTTGTAAAGTATTCATATTAAAAACTTACCAATCATGAATTTTTAATAACATGTTTATGTTTATTCACATCAATATATTACTTAAAACTAATATTGCACAAAACAACTTATAAACTCTACTTCAAAACAAACAAATTAAATAAGCAAAATGGCGGATTGTGTTAGCGCTACTGAAGTAGAAATCGTGTCCTGGCCGAAAACTATTTCAGCGCTTGTGAGCGCTTGCTAGCGCTTTTTTCTGCCAAACGCACCCAATGTCAAAAAACAAATATAGGTTGAATATAATAAAATATATAAAATAAAACTCAACCAGAAGGAAGCCTTCGGCAGGGGCTACCAAACGGCTGAGGTTAGGGGGGAAAAAACTGTCGACGATGCGGGCGGGATCGAGGGGCACCGCCTGCTGTATTTGTGTCTATCGCGGACCGTCATGAGGTCCCAGACGCCTCATATAATCTGAGAGGCTGTCTGGGATTAAACCATTCGGAGAAATCACTACAGGAATAATTTTGGTCGGCTATGTTAAATATTTAATATTACTCATTAGGAAAAAAAGGCAACCACTTCTGTGTGATGTTCGTGTCGTTAAAAAAAATCTTGTTATATCCCCTTCTTGTTTTTGTCTTAGTAAATTAAATTTGTCTTAGTATATTAAATCAAATGCTATTGTTAATTCGTTTTTTTTAAGTTTTATCATTTCTACTATTTATTCTAGAGTAAATAGTTAGCAAAAAATCTTAGTTATTAATTTTCCGAAGTAGTATTGTTTGTTGTAAAATTGAACTTAAATTACTATAGTAATTAAAATATAATTATGTTCATTTATATCGAAAAAATTGCTGTTTTTTATAGAAGTGACGTGACTACTGACTAACAAGCGTACAGTCTAGTCTACCTGTTGGTGAGTGGATGTTGTGACCTACACAAATCTACATATTTTCCCTATTAAGGGGAAATATAATGTCAAATGGCTTAGCAAGATCCTTCGTTATGCCGAAAATATTGCAGCATTAATTTTGAAATAAATATATGGTAAAGTTGAGGATTAATGTTAATGATTATGTTAGACGAAAACACGATTTCGTAAAATTTTCTCGATAGAAAAAAAATCCAAAGTTACCTCCAAAATGAACAATAAACCGCTGTTATTCATAAAATACTTTAAATAAGATCATGAAACTATGCATACTAACTGAACTAACTATAAAGCAGTGCTTATGTTATTTACTTTTTTTTAAATACCATTATTTTCACTGTAAAAAGAAATTACCTAAACTATCGGCGTCTTGAGCTTGATTCCTGTCGCCCGTTAGTATCGCTTAGGCTTTTGAAGGGAGAAGTTGTGTCGCTTACGATCAGAATATACATTACGCAACAGTACGACGTAAAATTAAAATGGGAAATAACCGTGATAAAAATAAGAAGCGGCTGGCTTGGCGTTAAGAAACAGGCATAAATATGATAAACCTAATGAAATAAGTGTCTAACGACCTTTCTACTTACAGTATTAGTGATTACAAACATATCGGTACATAGCATACGACGCGCGGGGAAGTGGGGGCGAAATTAGAATTTGAGCTGACTTACTCTATCCTCTTAATGATTAAAGTTGTTGCTCGATCACGCAGTATAATTGTCAAAATGTAGTGAAATTGTTACGGCAAAGATAGAAAACGCTGTTGGTTTAAGGCATTTATCAAATATTAAAAAAGAGTAACTGAATACTTCGCATTCGCTTCAAGCAGCTGCAGCATCCTAACAAGGACTTAAAATTATGAAAACTGCGTAGCCAATCCACCTCCTAAGCGTGGCAACTATGGCAATTCTTATGGGCAATCTATGAAGGAGGCCTATGTAATTTATGCAGTCTTTGTGTTAAATTATTATTGCGTGAATTAATATTTTCAACCGACTTCAAAAAAGGAGGAGGTTCTCAACTCGACTGTGTTTTTTATGTCTTACCTTAGAACTTTTTTTCTAGATGAACCGATTTTTTATTTACTTCAGATTCTAGGTGGATCAGTATCTCACTAGTAGTTTCTGAGTTATTCTTCATAAGGCGTATTTAATTGTTACTTCGATTACATTGGTGTTATCATTTTATTTATATTGACATGGGTTGCATAATTTTTTTAATTGTACCACTTGTTTCCTCTTTAAACGCTTAAAATCTACAAAAGAAGCTGTGAACTACAGAGCCTTTACATAGAAAATAGGGCATTCCATATTAGTACTCAGGGTGACAAAACATCTGCATTTTTATTCTTAATCGAGAATACATGTAGATGCCTATGGGCCACAGCATCCACCTACCCTCAGTGGATTGTGTTGGTCGCCCTTATAGCTAAAAATATATAATATATCGAACCTATGTACTCATAAAACTTAATATTCATAAAAGTCTGCAATCATTTCATGAATGTTTTGTTATATGACGTCCGTAAACTGACTTTACAGCCAACCAATTTCTTTATAAAATCATTTTTTATGTCGTAATAGCATCAAATAACTCCCTGAGGTAACACAAGCCAGTTATTTCAATATTACATACAGACATTTCAATTATATATATGTATATATATATATATATATATATATATATATATATATATATATATATATATATATATATAGATGTATAGACAGGTACAGTGTGAAAGCAGCCTAAAACTTTGCGTTTGTTAGCGTTAGGTTATCTTTAAAAATATTTACAGCATGTATTTCTTATTTCTCCAACCATGTGAAATTCGTTTTGAAATAATTCTAGGTTCAAGCGGGACGATGGCAAATAAAAATTTAATTATAATGAAAGATCAAATTGATTTATTATTGGGTCGTTGGCAGTGAATGATAACTGGTTGTAGACCCGGGGATAAAATCCTAATGAAATTCGATATTTTTTATTAATATCCGTTCAACAGTACGAGAATCAATCATCCCATTTCGTCCCGTAGATATCGAAGGGCGAATATGGGAAACTTTAATAAGATGGCTTCCGATAGATAGCGGTATAACCATTTTGTTTACTCCAGACAATATGTATAAGGAACAGCATCTAATTACTTCTAGTACTGTCAATATGCTGTTACGATAAGGACAAAACATCCCATTGAGGAGATGCTGAAGTCCAATTGCGGAATTTAGAGCTGATTATGAAGAAACAAACGTGTAGTGTGTAGAAACCAGTTTTTGCGAGTTTTAAACTCTATTATACTTATTTCATGTTTTCTTTTATAGTAAAGTTTACGAACGCGTTTCACCAGATGGTAAGTGGACGCTGTAGCCAATACACCTATTCTCAATTAAGAACCCTTAAGACATAAAGTCAAGAAATAAAGACCTTATTTCCAGTGAAAACGGTCTCCGGTTCTCCGCTCACCGTACGAAGCACAGCAGCATTAAGCCGCTGTTTTACGCTAGTATTCTGTGAAAACGTGGTTTTTCCCTAGTCAAACCGACCCATTCGTGCTAAAACCATAATATGGCTGCAGCGTGGCTCTACCACGTACTAATAATTTGACACGTAGTAAATGTCCTTTAGTGATTGCTTAAAGGAATATACGCAGCTAAAAGAAATTGTATTTTCGAAGACTGTCTTGTTTAAGTAATGAGAGTTGACCCTCGGTTTGCTTGTTTCTGTCACCTAATAAATAAGTATTAATTCAGAATCTTCACTTTAAAGCTTGTTTTTACAAGAATTCTCCGATGTTATTACTATTTTGTGTATGCTATGTGCTTGCTTTGTTGTTTTAGATTATCTTTTATTTTTTATATAAAAATTATATTTCGCGAAAAATCTTTAGCACTTTAAATGTACACATTATACATAATATGTATAACAATGCCCTCCATACCAAATTTCGGTCACTGCGGCGGGCCTCAACGGAGACTAACCATCGGCGCAGGACAGGAATAAAGTGCATTGGGACGGTAAACCGACACGACCGAAGAGAGATCAGGCGCAGGACCAACGGCTTCACGTGCTTTCCGAGGCACGGGGGTAAGACACCGCCAACTTCCTGACTCCAGTCAACTGCTGAGAATTTTTGACGAAAAACTCAATAATTTTTGGCTCGACCCGGGATTCGAAATTAGGACTTCATGATTAGCAGTCTAACTACTACAACCACTAGACCAACGAGGCATTACATTATATATACGTTGACGGTGTAGTGGTTGTGTAAGAATATACACTATCCCATATTATCCCGTGGGTGTCGTAAGAGGCGACAAAGGGAAACAAATCAGGAGATGAACAGCAGCCTTAGCAGCGCCTTCGTAATAACAACTTAAAATAAAAAGGCTTTGGTTTGAACCCGCCTGCCAAGCGTGGTACAGTGCCACCAACTTATCTGTTCAGGTGGATAAAATTGCAAGTAGGCCGCCATTTTATTAATGACATTTCGCTGTAAGCTATTATTTATTATGATCTGTGAGGAGAGTGCTTTGTTTGATTTAATTGTGAAAAGTGCAAATATACAACACGTAACATAATTAACGCACTTTGAGGAAGTAGTTTGTTCAGAATCGTTTATTGAATCGATTCCTATCATTTTTAATATAGGTAATTTTTTATCCCAAAAAAAATTAAAACTACGTAAATTACAGTCGCACTAAACCAGTACAGTCGAAACAAACTGAAATGGACCGTAACTTAAGGCAATAAGACTTTTAAGAGTGCAGTTTTATTTGTATTATTACTAATTCTGTCATTCAATAAAAATAAAGAAAAATGAACTTTATTTCAAGCACCT